TGTCTTTTTTTATATTCAAAATTTGAGCTTTTAACGGTCAAAGTCAGATAATTACGAGCGTATTAAAAATGCTCATATTGAACTCTCAAGTTTTCATACTTTTATATAGTTTTCAACTAACTTTAGTTTCTAGGCACGTGTTTACATGTACGAAATGATATTTTTATTACATTTAAGTGTAAATAAAAAGAGTCTATTACTTAACTATTTGTTGTTGTATGCTTAGGTGAAATCTTTGGTTTTTTAAACAAGAGGTATACATTAATGAATTTGTATCCCATACTTGCCTCTTTTTCATTCAGATTTTAATGATAGCATGAATATGTGTATGACATGCAATTAAATAATTCAAGCTATAAAAATACCGATGTTGAAAAGACAATTAAATATTTAAACTAAGGGAAAGTTTAATTTTGACTTCGGCTAACACTTATGCATAAGCTTGAAGTAAAAAAACTGAAGATCACAGTAGAAAATCAATCGATTCTATATTTGAGAGTATATTATTTTAAAACATTATTTTTTTTAGTTTTAAGCGTGAATAAAGTACTGAATCATTTACCCATCTTGTTGCCTTTATATCGACATAATAAAACAATTTTAGTTCAGCAGAACTATATAAATCGATTACTTGGTCTTGAGGAGCTTAGTTACGTTTGAAAAAAAATTTAGGAGAAAATAAAAGGCAAAATGAGCGATTTCTCCATTATGTGCATACAAATTCTTCACTATATCAGTTATTCATTTTTGTATTCCTCTAAGAATAAATGATATGAAAAATAAGTAGACTATTATTGTTTGTCTTGTAGTCTTATTTGTTTTAATATTGTCGATTTATATAAGTACTAAAAATTGTAAAGCAAAATTGTACATACTTAAGCTATCGATCATAGTCAATACTGATTCACATGACTTTATTCTTTCTGTCTACTGTATATTTTATTCCTTTCCCAATTATTTGCCTTCTCTACTACTATATACATGAAAGTTTTTCTCATACACAACTATTCTCATCTTTGACTAAATTTTCTCTTTTACCATTGTTCGTGATAATCAAGGATAGACGACAGGAGAAAAAAAGTGTCTGAGAATAACAGCTCAAGTATAATGCTGACAATTGGCAAAGTCAAGTTTTTGTATTCAGAATGGAACAGGACATCTTTTTTAATTTTGATAGGGTAAGCAGGTGGATGGTTTCACCTCTGATCAAAAGTCTTTTTTATTTCCTCTTTCGTGACACACGATCTAAAACTAATGTGAAAGTATCAGGACAGAAATTTGAACTCTCAACATACCGTTATAGATATAACATCTGTTTTTATCAAAGACCAAGAATATGATACATAAACAACATAATTCACGCCATACAGACATAACATTAATAGAAGTTATCTGATGAAATCATTTTTCTATTTAAAGCAAAGGCATCTATACCATGTTTTTGCACTTTATTCTTGCAATGGATTGTGATAACAGCTTTTTTTTCTATATTACATCCATTGGGTATCAACTGAATATCTATTAGACAATGAGGTAGGTAAATAGATAGTAACGTAGTTAGTTAAGTATGCTCTTTAGATAGACACACTGTTAGATAGGTTTATAGCTAAGTTAATGGCTAAAGAGATGCATCTATCTATCTGTGTATGAATTATTGACATTATGTAGATGACTTACGCGGACAAAAAAATTCATGGAAATGCATAACAGAAAAGGCATGCAAATAGAGAGAAAACAGAGAAGCATGTAAACGCACCGGAAATCAGGACGTTTTCAGATGCTAATCGCGATTCCCGTTTGTGAGTCAGCAACGTTGACAGTAAATAGATATCAAAATGACTAAGAATTTGTAGCGTATAAAATGTCAACAATTTTACCTTGTGTAAGAAGTGATTGTTTTCATATTGCATTTTTTAAAATGTTTTTCGATGACAATCGAAAACCGCGATTAACACCCGACAACGATTGAAACTTCTATAGTATTTTCACGCGTTTTTCCATTTTTATTGTTTGCTTGGATACTAGAGTTTTAATTGGCTTTCATTTGCTAGGAGAAGTATGTTCCACCAATATTCATGTTAATAGACTCCGATGCGTAAATATCATTTAGTGCAACCGTTATATCTTTGCCATCATGTCTTTCACTGACGAGTAGCTCCGTCATCGAACTTGATCGTTCAAAATCTATTACTTATTAATAAACATTTCATATTGGCCCGATAAGAGTGTAATCAAAAATCACATGATTGCAGAAAGTGAGAAAGAGTTTTCGTAATTATCACCTTACAACACTGTATCTTATATTGCTCAAGAGAATTTTAATCATCTGGAAAAGAAAAATACTAAATGACTCAAAACTTTATCACATGATCTCAAAATAAACCCTTAGAGGTAGGTTCAACTCTTGATCTCGTAATAATTAACAAGTGTTATCATATCAATTAAAGTTCACTGTCCCTAATTTGATAAATAGAAATTGTCAATTATCATCAGAGTCAAGTTCTGAATTATCGAACATCATTACACTAAATCCCTAAATTAATGAATGAGGAATACTTATGACAAGTCGTCAAATTTTGTCTTTTTTCAATTCGTTCCATACAACTATCATTAGCTATATGAAAAAGTAAATTGTCACAGATTAAGAAGTAATAAACGTGATAATCGATCTGTCGTGAAGAACTGACTACAATCCCCATTGTCTTCGGAATATTTTCGAAGTCTTTCTTGCTAACAAAATAATGAAAAATGAGCGGATATGAAATTTTATGAACTTCAAGAAATGTTTTTCCATCATGGCTGTTACACTCTTGTTGATATCCTTACTCCCACGTAAGATGAGTGCATCTCTTTTGATCTTAACAGTAGTTCTTCTCGAATGAATATATTTTACTATCGTGTCTGAGAATCATCAACAGACTAATTTTCTGTAGAAACAATCAATATCTAGTTTTAATATAAACTGAGTGTTTTACACTAAGCTATATTTTACAAACGTTGAGAACAGATTTATTGCCATATAGAACACATAGACTATAAGTTCAATATTTAAATTGCAATAACATTCCACAGAATTCGTCTTTGTCTTTCAAACGAATAGTCACACTTAGAGTATAACAAGTGACTCTTACAAAAAAAAAATGACTTCACATCGGATGAAACTTCAGACACAATCAAGTACTATATAAAGAAATGTGCACAAAACATTGATCATACAAGATCAAGAAAACATCAAGATGTCAATGTCGTAACAAGATTTATTGTAACACATCAGACTAAAAAATAATCACGCGAGTAAGAATACAGCTTCATACGATATGATGTTAACTGACAACTAAGAAGAAGCGACCAGATAACCAGAAACAAAAAGTCAAGCTTAATGTTCATCACACACGAAAAAAGTTACGAGTCGCCACTAAGCTCAAACCAGACATGTACTCATTAAAATGTAAGCAATGATGGAATATTGTTTAAAGTATATGACTAGTTATCTAATTTATTGCTTAGTCTTGAAAGTGAGAAAAGAATTTTACTGATATTGAGCTCTGAATTGTCACGTGTTGAGAATACTAGGAATAATGTTTTTTTTATTTTTGAGATTGGAGATCTTCATCTTTGGACTAATTTCATGTACTAAGCACATATGTTCAGATTTTATCTAGGTGCAAAAACATCTAGTACATTTTTCTTCGCTCGATGGAATCCATAAGAAATTATTCTCTTTGCAAGTGTTTTTCAGTATTTTTTGTTCTTAAAAATACTACAAAAAATATTGAAACAGCATGTGAAGAAAACTGAAGTATTTTAGTTTTGTAGAACAAAATCTGGTTTAGTTTTTGAGATATCATTAAATAGAACTCGTTCGACAGCTATAGACAACAATAATGACATACTGAAAAGAGAAAACATGAGAAAAACATAATGAGTATTTTGAGATCTTCATTGAGGCATGCATCATATTCCTTCAAAGGTTGCTGAGAGAAGATAAAAAATTGTGAATTTTTAAATTTCTCTTCTAAACTCTTTTATGGTCAACGATTAAAAGGATATGGAAAAATTCTGTTATGATATGTTTTCTTGATTGAGTATAGACTAGTTCTTAATGATTGTGAATGACTTGTAGGTAATGTTTCAGTATATGTATATAGTAACAAAAATCCATAGATAAGCAGCTCAGTAATTAGGTACTATTCACTGTGATTTCGATCAAGTTAACCCTCTTTATCACACGATCGAAAATACTTCTCATGAGATCCAAATTATCCTCCATGTTTATTCTGAAAAGACCACATTTATGACTGATGGAGAAAACCTGTACAAATACAACTGTTTCGAATTGATCAATAATATCTGTTTCATCAAAACTTCTGTTTAGATGACGGATTATGATTCAGATGCTTTGTAGAACAAATATAACAATGATATACAAGATTATTTAGAAAAAAAATAATAATGAAAGTAAACGATAACAAAACTATCATTTATCACAGTCATAGATTTTTCATTTATACTCTGAAACTTATGATTCTTTTTTACTATAAGATAAATAATCACCACCAACATACAAATGGTTTGTTATACTTTATGAAAATTATAAATAATTAGTAATATGATTAAGGTGTATTACAACTTGACAAAAGGTTATCAGGAACAAAAGATTATTGTCTAAAAACAGATTTTCTTCTAGAGAAAAAGAAAAGTTTGTGTACGACATTGCGGAGTAATAACTAAATGTATATGAGTATTTGAAGTTGCCGACAGTCACGAACATGATAGATAATCAACGTTTCTCATACATTTATTGAAGTGGATTGATGTCGAACAAAATATATTCTGACAATAACCATACCATTATTTTCTCTGAACATATCTCATTATTATTTACAAAATGAACAACAATCATTTCTGTTTCTTTCAGATTATCTTCTTCAATTTTTCTAAAAATCATCTTACTATATGTATATAATACTTAAAAATATATTACAATGAGCTTGTTGTCAATGTTTATACCTTCTTTATTATTAAGAGCAATTATTGAATGTTTATTTTGTATTATGACAATTTGTTTAAATATTCTTTTCATAGTTGCAATTATACGGTTACGAACTTTACGCACACCACAAAATATTTTATTAGTCAAGTAAGTGAATATTATATACAGACATGTTTTGCAAATGTCAGTGTAACTTCTATCTTGTCCTGTAAACAGAAATGATCAGTCATTTATATTTTTAAAAAATTACAGAAAATATTTGTCATACATATTTGCTTGAACAGATATAACTAAACTAATACAAATTTTCCATTAAAATCTATTTCTAACAACTATAACAATTAATAAATTCATTTTAATCGAAAATATGTATCTAGAATACTTATCTAGAGACGATGTATAGGTTGTTTGAACAAAAGGACGTGTTGTTTTTACCATACTAAAAACAAACACTACTGATGCAAATAATTAGTTTTCAACTATTGAAGAAGATAAAATGTTTTTGACCATATTTTCAATTACTCTTGATTCATTAGTGTTCTATGAATAAAAGATAAAAGAAAAAATGTAATATTTTAAAATTCACATAGTTTTGTTAATATGATATCAAATACAAGTCTCAGTTAATATCTGAAAATATTATTTTCTAAAAAAGATCATTTTAAGATTAATAATATTGTATACTATGGTGATAGTAACTAAGTTAAAATCCTTCATTTCATAATACATCGAATTAGAAGTCTTTATTTTAAATTTTAATTTAGTTCAGCATTAAATCTTATATGTTCATGTTTTACTTTTCTGACCTCAGTAACAATTGCATTACAATATTCAATAACTCATTATATCAATATGGAATTATGTCGTATAATAGGCTATTTAATATATAGTTTTTGCCATGGGATTATGTATTCATATTTACTTGTTAGTATAAATCGTTTTTTGCATGCATTTTATTGTTTAGAAAAATATTATTTATCAATAAAATTTCTAATATTTGAAATAATTTTACAATGGTTTTTATCATTTCTTATACCATTAATACCATTATTTTTAAATCAAATTGAATTTCAAATAAAACCACGTTTTTGTTCACCACGTAAACCGTTTTATATGACATTAGAAATAATGACTGGATTTTTTTTACCAATTATATTTATGACAGTATTTAATTTGATAATTTATTTTCATATAAATAAATTACATACAGATATTCATTTATCATTTCAACAAAAACAAAAATATAAATTAAATAAATTCTATCAAATATCTCATCGTTTATATAATCGACAAAATAATAAAAATGTTAAATTATTACATCAATTTGCAGCATTTTCATGTGTATTTGTTATTGGTTAGGGTTTTTTTGCATGTATTTCTATATTTGATCTTAATGATATTGTTCCCGAAAGTATTTATTTAATTACTTTATCATTTCCAGCTATATCATTATTTATTATTACTTTAATGATTATTAATTGGAATAAACCAATTAAACAATCAATATTTACTTTATTTAATAGTACATCAAGAAAACATTCAACATCTGCAACTACTGTACAATTTTCAGCTCCTCTTGGTTTCAATTGTAACTAAATAAATGTATCTACTTTTATTTACTTTGTATATAGTAATTATAGACAGTGGATACCACAATTATTCAACAAAGTTTATTTTCAATTATTTTCCACTGCTGTAAGTATTAGAAAGAATTTAAATAGCGATTCGAAAGGAGAAAATTGTTTTCAAAAGGAATATAAGGAAACCAGAATTATTTTTAGGTTCTCCAAGACAGTGACTCCAGAAACCCAAAAGGCTAGTTTTTCAGCATCTAGAATAGGAAAATATAATTTTGTTGACTACAAAGAATGACAGAGGAAATAATTCTCTACCAAATGAGATGTCTTCGAGTTCGCTGTGACGTTTATTTTCCAATTTCTGATAGGAAAATTGTTTTTTTTTTTTTATCTTTAATCACATTGCTGTATCTCAGCTAAAAAAAAGGTTACAAAGAATTCGCGGCGATATCTTATTCTTTTTAGAGGTTGATTTACTCTATCACTCTATGTAGTCTAAACAAAATTATATTTACGCGATCTAGGTGTTAAAAAAACTAGCCTTTTGATTTTCTGGAGTCTCTATCTTTGCGAATCTGATGATAAGTTTTATTTCCTTACATTCTTGTTGGAAACCATTTTACATATTCGAATCACTATTTGGATCCTTTCTAGCGTTTATGGCAGTGGAAAAAAAAAGAAAAATAAACCTTGCTGAATAATTTTGGTACTCACTGTATATTCGCTTATCGTATGTTATATTCTTAAAATAAATCCTTGATAACATGACAAATAATATAAAGCAGTACTGCTATTTCTTTGGAAGGATATTTAAAGCTTCATTTTATTCTTTTTTCTTATGTGGAGCATATGATAAGATTAAAATTAAAAATAAATTTTATTGCAGCTAAAATTTAACAATTACTTAGTATTTATAACCACAGTGATGTTTCGACGGTTTTTTTTTGTATTTTCAAATTTCATTTAAAACAAAATTTTACTGAGATAGAATATCTTTTCTATTTTAATCTTCATATCATGTTACTCTATAGTACCTAATACGTTTTTATCCATTAGTACTTTATTCTGTTATATCTAAAGATAAATTAATTGTTAAATTCTAGCTACAATAAAATTTATTGTTTTATATTATTAGAGGATTACGCATTAATGATTTTATTCTTAACCTAATATAAAAATCTTTGATGAATAGTTTTAATTTTTGAAATATCAATATAAACTATTTATTTGTCTTATATATCTTTTGAAAAAATATTTGTGATGGATGATGATACAAATATGATGTCAAATTGTATAAGAAAATCAAATCTAAATTAGTCATTTTAATAGAATTGTAAACTAGATTGATTTGACGAATTTTATAAATAAAATGAAAAAAAAAACAACACTATACGAATTATTCAAAGATAATATATTATTCTTATTAAAGCAATGCTTCATTGAATGATTGGTGAAATTACAATAGTTAATAAATGTAAATAATTTGCTTTTTTTTTTAAAGAGTACATCTTTTCTGTATATATTTTTTGTCTCGGAAACATGGTGACATTGAATGATTAATGAAGTTTTCTGAAAAATGTGTCTTTTCTTAAAGTATTTATTCATACAAGCAGGGGGTTGATGTGAACGATTTCTAAAAATAAGAGTGCATTGCACCACATGTGTCTCTTGTAGTTATTATATTAGAGCATAATGTATAATTGTAAACACTAATAAAATCGAAAAATAAATTTGTTATCTAAACAATATAATCGATGGTATATGATGCATAACCGTTCTTGATAAATTTTGGATCGGATTTTTGGATAAGACACCAATTAACTTTATTTCTGTTGTTTTTGCTATTCATATTAAAATTAGAAAAACGGAAGCGAAACAGACGACAAACCTTATCAACTTAAATTGAAGAAAATAGTCTCAAAAATAGCTTCGAAATAAAGAATTCACTCGATACCTATTTCTAATTAATAGTAAATGAAATAGAGCAATCAGAAAAACTCAGAAAAAACATAAAAATTTTTTTTTTATCGTGTTTAATGTGATTTTATTTTGTGAACTTTTCTCTAAATCAATTAGTTCATCTAATTTGTGAAGTTTTATTCCTATTATAAATCCTTTTCTAATGAAAAAAGTCCTCCCAATATTCAATCATTTTTGCGTCGAGACTATGTGCACTATATAGATCCGTATGAGCTATAAAGACTCTGGAAAGAGTTCGTCTACTTAGTTTATTGCTGTGGAGATATTTCACTTTTATCGTGCTTTTTAAATAAATACTGTGGTAACAAAAAAACTGATTTTCGAATTTTGACTTCAAACTATGCATAGAGACAGACCTCAACGAGATTAGTTTATTGTGAAAGTTTCAGATCTTTTGATTTGCTTCTATCCTAAAATAAGAACATGAAATCTGCTAGTTTATATGAGTGATGTAAAAGACACGCTATTCACATAGTTGTATCTTATGATAGGAGTAGTGACAAAATCTAGAACATTCATAAAAACGTGTTCTCATTAAGACATGTCTCTATGTGCAGTTTCAAGTCAAAAATCGAAAATTGGCTCTGGTGGTGTTTCTGAGTAGAACCATGGCATATATTTAAAAATGCCGTAAAAATACAATATCTCCGTAGCAATACACTAAGGACATGAACTCTGTTCAGGGCATTCATAGCTCAGATGAATCTATATGATGCACATAGTCTCGATTCAAAAGTGATTGAACAGTTCGAGGACCTTTCCCGTCAGAAAATTATTATTAAAATTAATTCATGCATTTCAAACGCAATTGAATTCTCATGTCAACTGTGACATGTACACGAGAATGTTCATTGTACAAGACTACTTATAAACTAACTTTCAATGTTGTTAAAGTGTCAACACATGTAGATACAAGCAGTTCATAGTAAATAAAATATTATTAAATTAAATTGATTTTTATTAATATCCAATATATGTGTCATTTATAAATGATCATTTTGTAAAGTTAATTTAAAGAGCAAATCATTTTCTTGTCTAATCTTATGGATTGGAAAAAGTCATGCAAATTGCTGCAAGTTATTTAGTTAATGCCGACCAATAATGATGGACTGGTCGATGATCATCAACATGAGTATGGTCCTTCTTTCAATGAATCAATGTAGACAATATGAATGTGCGTGTATATTTATATATATATATATATATATATATGTCTGTTAATTTGAGTTTAGGGTATTGATCGTTTGCATCCGTTTTTTCTTTTTCTGTCTCTCTCGCTTTCTCTCTTTCTGACATTCTACTTGCTCATATAGAACACGCACACGATTATGAGCAAGTGTTATAAACAAAAACTGTTGTTGTTCACTGTAGGAAATAGATCGATCGATGATTGATTATTCATTTGTGGTTCTTTTTCTCTGTATATAGAATATATAAACTTTGAGATTAATGACTTTCATCTTTCTACCAACAAATAATAAAACAGTAGTTAACAGTAGGCAAGGTAATTTGACTCGTGTACATCAACGATTAAAGAGAAATGATAATGATCCTCATCATCACAGAGAAACAATAATAAGCATATGATGCAGAAAAATGAGAAAGAGAGAGAGATGACACCATTCAATAATAAAAAAAAAAAAGAAAAAGACAGTTATAGAATTTATATGCATCTGCAGATGCTTGACATTACATGAAAATGATTGTTTGTCAAGAGACTCTCTTGATTGGAATCGATCAGTGTCGTCTTTGTCTTAGTCTAGAAGAAAAATAATTGTGCTCAGTGAAATTATCTCCTCATGTCGTGTCATGTCTCTGCTATCTTTTTCTCTCCAATATTGTTAATCGTCTATTTTGTGTCTATTCAACAACAACGAAGAAGATTGCACTTGATTGTTCTGTTTTCTGTGCTCATTTCCTGAATGGCTACAGACGATCGACGAACACGCCAAATGCATACTAAAACTCTATATCATGCTGAGATGATGATCATCTCTCTCATTATATTAAGCGAAAGAAAAAAAAGAAGAAAAAAAAAACCAAGAAAAGATGATGAACCAATAGAAAATATTCGCATCTCTTTTTATCGCATACAAGTCTGATTGGTCATTGAATAATAGGAAAAAAAAAGAATAGCAAAAAAAAAAAAGATGAAGACAATCAATGAAATGACCACTTTTCTTTTATCGAACTCAATTCGAGAAGTATTTATTATTTTTCTAGACGTGAAAACTAACAAGTGTTTTCATAGATAAGAAAAACAAAAGGAGAAAAAAAAATGATCGGTGGAAAACCATTTGATGTCGAATCACTTTTACGTGATTGTGTTGTTAAGAAAAAAAGACCAATACATGATGTTGTTCAAATTTATGATCAACAACAACAGCAACAACACCAGGCAACTGATTTATCAATTGGTAAAGAAAAAATACAATCTGGTTTGTCTAAAATATTGAAATAAAAATTTATTTTATTAAATTTTTATATTTCAATTTATAGATGAAAATGGAGATTGTTCAAATAGCTCAACAACTAGTAGTAGTATTAGTACAATGAGAGGTAGTATTGATGCATATCGACAACATCTATTCAATAGTGCAAGTACTGAAGCAGCTAAATCATTTTTATTAAGTATGCGAAATTTTACATCATCATCAACAACAACAACAATAATAGGAGGTGGAAATCATAGTAATGTTCAGATAAAAAAAACTAAACGACGTTCACGTGCTGCTTTTTCTCATGCACAAGTTATTGAACTTGAACGACGATTTGCACAACAAAAATATTTATCAAGTACAGAAAGAGCAGAATTGGCTAGTCTACTAAGTGTAAGTTTTTATTTTTAAATTAAAAAAAATCTCAACATATATTTCGATTAATTATTAAAAGATTTATTTTATCATTGGCATGTTCATTTAGTATTAAGTATTCATGAACAAGAAATAATAAATTGTAATTCTTATTTAAGTCCATTGATTAATCTGAGGATTTTATTTTTATAGTAATTTATGTTAACAATATGAGAAAAATGCAATATTAACTAATACTACATTTTCTTTTTTTTTTTGTTTTATGTTTAGCTTCAAGAACAACAAGTTAAGATATGGTAAGAGAATATATATTTTATCTCAATTAAGATTATGTAATAAAAAAAGAAACTTTTTGTATTAGATAAATATATATATATATATTTATGTTTTGTAAAAGTACAGTGTTAGAGATTATTTTTTTAACTTTCTTAGGTTTCAAAATCGACGCTATAAAGCAAAACGAAAACAACTTCTTAGTCAAGTAAATACGACAACAAACACGCGTCATGCACCTGTTACTGTACTCGTCTATGAAAATCATGCATTTTCAGGTAATTCATCATCATCTTCATCATCTCGTTTAACTCATCATAAACCACCATTGATGATTCCATCAATCAATCTTTAAATATAAGATACAGAAGAAGACGAAGAAGAAGAAGACTAAAAAAAACCAAATAAAAATTATTCATATTTATCTATGTACATCGTTGTTTTGTTTGTCAATTTTTGTGTTGTTTCTTTTTTTTTCATGTGTGTAAATGTATATCAGTCAATATCATTGAGCAAACGTGAATCATCACTAAGATCATCATTTTTTAAACGTAAATATTCTGTATGAATCATTCCATTCGTATTATCAATATTTCTTTCATATTTTAAATTCAAATGATAGATAACAATTAAATATTTCAGTACAAATTCAATAACTAATATTCCACTGTAGAAAGTAGCTGAAAATTGTCCAGGTAAAAATAACATATGAAGAATTGATGTACCAGTAAAATAAAACAAGCGTAAAATAATACCATTCAATTGACAAAATTTTTCATTAATAAATACAGTTATTGATGATAGAGGATTAGTATCATCGAGAATAATTGGTTCACGTATTAATTGAATAGTAAATATTAAATCAAATAAATGAAGAATAAAAATAAATAATTGAGGATATATATAACCTTGACAAAAAACTGGTGGATTCCATTCATTATTTGGTAAATAATCATTATTATTCCATAACCATTTAATTGAAATAAATAATTGAATACAAAGTAAAATAATAAAACTAAATATAATAATAGATTTTAATTTATTAGAATTAACTTGATGATAATATTGATTTGTATATTCATAGAAATCAGGTAATAAATGACTTATAATAATAATCATAAGTAAAAAATGAAGAAATATTTGATGAATAGAACACCATATTCGATGTGTTACACCATTAATAACAAGTAAATCATCAAGAACAAGACCAATAATACCAATTGATACGGTTAAACGAGATAATTGTGAATATGGACGAATTGATATTCGAACATAACTATGTTTACGACCAATAAATCCAAGAATAGAAATAAATAGAATAAGAATTGTTATATGAAGAAGATATCGAGTTAAACGAATACTTGAAGAAAAATTTAGTTGAATAAATTGATTGATTGTATTGTTTATGAGATTCGTTGTAGTGATGAATTTAACGGTTGTATTATGAGACATTCTATGTCGATTGAAAGAAAAATCACGTAATCAACAAGAGATGACCGTAATAGTACTATTATATTGACGTGCTATTCTGAATATTAGGCGCGTTTATGCAAGATATTATAATAAAAAATAATGTTTATCTAATATACTTAATATATTTTTTCTTTTATGAAATTTGAATTCATTAAAAACTTGAACAAGAAACAAAATGCTCTCAATCATTAAAGCTTTGCAAATTTCGTAATATCTTAATAAGTACTGGGGAGCCAGATATAGGCAGTAAATATCATTATATGAGTAGATTTTTAATTAAAAATTTTTCAGTCATTAAATAATTCCGAACTGATTTTTTTGCTAAAATTTACATAGAAAACCAAGAGTTTTGGCTAACTCTTCTAGTATTCAGACAGGTGTTTTGAGCAAATAAGTACTGAAAAACTAGAACTGTTGCTAGCTAAGAAAAACACTCTTTTTTTTTACTAGAAAAAGTAGTAAATTCAATTTTAAAAAATTGTATTTTACTCAAAAACTAAATTTTTTGGTGTTAAAATTCAAAAAAAAGGGATTCACTAGATTCCTGTAAAAAGGCTTTTGAAAAACCTATGGTCCTCTAATATAGGATGACTTTTTATTTTGAGAGGTCAGGGATATTTCATCTTGCAATATTAACATATATTGGAAGACTTTGTTCAACATAGAGAGTGAGAAGAGTTCTTTTTATTTTCGATTACTACATTTCTCTATGAAGATCTCATTAATCTCTATTGTTCTCTTTTTTTTAAAGTTTTTTTCCACAACAAATTATATGGTAACTAATTTTGTAGCTGTAATTGTTTGATGATTCATACATGAGAAATTGATAATTATTCTTTGTGAAAGATACCACAAACGTCTATTTAAATTTTAATTCATAGAATGGTTAATTTTTATGTCGAAGTTCTATTTGTATCAGTTGAAAAAGAGAAACATTTCAATAAAATTATTTGTTAATTATGAATATCATACAACTCATTGTTTTAAGAATTGGATATAGTGACCAGTTCTATTTTTGGTAACTGAAACACATTACTAAATAGAATGACTACATTACCATTATTAGTAGATACAGTTTATATATGAAAAAAACTGATCATTTAATACAGTTTTTGAAAAAGAATTGGTTCATAGAACTGTGAGCTGTTGCAGGCCAAAATACGAACAACAAAAAAATGATTGATAAATATTAGTAAGTCTACAGTATGGATTTCTTTATGTATAAAGAATCTATAAATCTTTTTGAATCAAAGTTGGTATTTCTCGTTTTTGAAAAACTCTTGAGTATCTTAATAATTTCTTTTTTGTTTTATTGAATTGATATGGAATCAAAGAAAATAGTCCTGTGAGAATTTTAGTTTCATTCTTCGTTTAAATTGAATTTTTATTAATTTTAACAATAAGTAACGTGCGTCCTCTACGTGTCATACATTTGCAACCAATCATTGTTATTATCTCTTAACCATTTGCTATTCGAAATAGATTACTACTGGAACGAGTCCTCTATTCGAAAGATTTATTATTTGTACATCTCCTTTTGTTCTTTACATATCATATCAATATCTATTTAACCAATTGATTGATTGATTGATTTATTGTTTTTTTTCAATAAAAATATTAATAACATAGGGAAAAAGACTTAATAATACGAAAGGTATTGCATATTACGCAAACCTCAAAAAGGGGGAAAAATAGGGTAAATATATGAAAATAATTAAAAAACCTATAAAATAAAATAAATAATTTCTTATTTAGTTAAATGTTTCAACATCGTACTACAAATGGTCCAACATCCGGTCGAAAACCACAGACAGCTGTAAAACATACAATCGATCGAATAAAAAAAAAATCCTGGTATAATGATAATAGTATTAATTATCGAAATCATCCATATTCATCACAATCAAAAAATGCTAATCATCAATTTATAAATGAAGATATTAATAATAATAATAATAATAATAATAATAATAATAATAATAATAATAATTGGTTAAAATCTTCAACAAAAATTTTCGATGATACACCTGAATTAGAATTAACATGTGAAGAAGAAATGCTTAGCGAAAGTCAATTACAAAATTATCCAACACAAGTAAAAAATTGTTTTTTTCTGTGTTAATTATAAAATATTTTTTTTATATCATTTTCAGGCATATGATCCAACTGCTCCACTTCCATTACCAGCTGTTCGTAAACGTACTTCAGTATTAAAAAAATTAACTACATCAGATATTGAAATTCTTCAAGATCCAGATGAAGATTTTATTCCAAGTGAATCCGATGATGATGACGATGATGAAAATTATTTACCAGAACATGATCGACGTTCATATAATCGTAGTAGTCATGTTAATGGTAATATCGGCCGAGGTAAAACTTTTTGTTTTTCCATTAAACAACAAAAAATAAAGATTTTGGTTTTCGAGGTCGTGGCCGTGGTGGACGTGGTCATTTAACTTCAGCAAATAATCGATTACCACCATCAACTCATTTTGTTCGACCACAACCTGAAACAAATACTCAGATACGTTCAAAACTTTATTCATCATCTTCTAATGATAGTCATCGTCATCACAATATAAATTCAATTGAACATGAACTTGAACGTATTTATGCTACTGCACTATCACGTTTTTATGGTACTCGTAATGGTCAATCAATAAATTCAGATGATTATGGAGATTTTCGTATTAGTATGTTTAGTTGTATTTTTTCTTTTATATTTATGTCAGACAAAAGAAAAACTTTTTTTTGTTTTTTGTTTTTTGATTAGAATGTTCTATATGTGGTGAACAATCATTAAATAATATGTCATTTATAGCACATTTATGTTCACATTTTGAAGATGATCTTAATTATATAAGTCCATTTGATAAAATCTATCGACGATGTTCAATATGTCATGATGAATTTTCAACACCATTTCAAACATTATTACACAAAGATCAAGCACATATGATTGAAATAAATGAATTTCGTTGTCGAATATGTCAACAAAATCATCATAGTTTAGTAGATTTATTTACACATTTAAATTATGTACATGTTGGTCTTGATATGCCATATATATGTGATCGATGTAATTATCGAACATCAATATATGAAGATATGGCTCATCATATTCGACAAGTAAATTTTCTTTTTTGATTAATGTTTTTAAAAATAACGAGTGGTCGATAAATAATGGAGCAATTTGATTTTCCATTTTTTAAAGAATGAAAATACTGTTCAAAAGTACCATTCTAAGCTCATTCGATAGAGAATTTTTCGCTCTACAAAAATATCGACGAGAAATCGGAAAGATTGATATCTGGCTCACTGCTCAACTGCAATCTTCTGTGAACATCTAACGATTTGCGCTTATCAAGTTCGATACTAAATGTAAAATATTTAGCATCAATAGATAAAGAATTTTATTTTCTATGGTTCCAAGATCATCTCAAGGCTTTCAATGATGTTGTTAGAGTGCAAAAGGCTTGGAACTAACATCTGGTAGTATTTTGTTTTGAGTGCGTTTTTTGAAACTCATATCTTTCAAAAGTTAGCATGTTCTATGAACAGTTTATCATTATATCATTGGACGCAGAATTTAATTTTGAACAAAGGATGTAACATTTAAATTGAATAATCGAAATCTTTAGATTGTCTTCAATAGCATAGAACTGCCAAAAAGAGTATTTTACGTCGTTTTCTAATTTTTGCTAGAGGAATTGCTCTTCCGAATATTTTTTTCCTAAAATTACGAAACATTGTGAGTTGCAGCATTACAACATAGTATCTTGTAGCATACTTCAAATTTCGACAGAACTGTTATTTAAACATATATTTAATAAGTGTTTTGTTTTCTGACAGTCGCAGTTCAATGACTGCCAATCTTTTCGACTTTTCTGCGATAGAAGAAACTTATTAGAATGAACCTAGAATGGTATCTTTAAACTGTGCTGTGGACTTTAAAAACAAAAGAAAATCAAAGTGTTCTATTCTTTTTAGACTATTTGTTATTTTTAATTCTTTTTTAGGTACATAAAGGAACACAATATTTTTTTTGTCCATATTGTTTTCAATCAGTATTATTACCAGCAATATCAAATACAAATATTCTTAATTCGACACCTGCTTTTCGTCATGTTATACTTCATTTTGATAGAATTGAAAATAGTAATAATAAACAACAACGTCGTATTGAATCACTATTTAAATATTGTAATCGATGTTTACTTCATGTTAAATCACTTCAAGAACATTATAATTATCATCATCCATTAAATTTAAATATTGATGAACAAAAATCATATTTAAATTATGAAGAAAATTTAAAAAGAAATGCTTATCATCAAACAAATGATTGTAAGTTTAGTAGAAAATACAGTATATCCAAAAAATCCCTTCACAAATGTTTTTGTTCGTATGTCGTTATTATTTGATTCAACTTTATCAACTGATCTTTTTGTTTTTAAATGATAGATCTATGCACAGAGTTTTTATTCATATAAGTAAACTTCAAAAGTATTCTTCAAAGTTATCACATCTAATCGATATAGAAAAACTTAGCTTTTTTTTCTATATATATAAAGGTATTATGCAATGATTATTTTTGTAATTGCTTCATTTTCTTGGATGTTATGTACACGTTCATTAGAGCCTGTTAGGTTGGTCCGAGATCCAACGAGCTCTAACGCTTACATTCTGCATTGGTTTATAAACATAGCTGCCGTATTTGGATCCGAAATAATTCATATGTCGCTTCGAAGGTGCAATGGGCATGGTCACATGATACTATTGGATTTATTTTTATTAGAATATTTCTATAAAGCGACTATTTAAGATCAGAATAATTCAAGAAACCGGAGTAATTAAAAAAGAATAGTTGTATATTGATTTTCTACATATAGAAAAAAGGCTAAATTTCTGTATTTTGGTTAGAGGTGATAGCTTTGAAGGATATTTTTTAAGTTTGCTTGTATAAATAAAAACTT